AATTAGTGGTCAGTATAACCTATTCTTAAGGAAAGAACTTAGAAGAGACAATTTTATTTTTTTTCTAGTACTGAGAAAAGTAGCTAAAGATATTCATTTTTAGGACTACTATTTTTATTTCTGATATTGTACATTTAATACACTCACTCACTAACTTTTCGGTTATGTATGTACATTTCTATTGGTCTACCTATCTATTTATGTATGTATATTTTTTCTTTTTTCACATATCAATTCTTTAAAAATAAATAAAAGATCTGATTTCATTAAAACTGGATAACTCCTACAAATACACAGCAATTTCTATTGGTGAAGTGTTTGTAAAATTATTTGCAAATGTAGATGACACATGCAATAATTTGAATGAACCTGCTTTTTAAGTCAATTTTAAAAAACAAATACATGAATATATATCTAAATGCAATTGTACATGTATGTTAACAAATATTGAAAAATGCTACACCACAGAACTGACAATCACAAGATTAACAAAAGCAATGTAGCATGGGCTGCAACTTATTCCTCTTTGGTCATGAAAAGATGACAGGAGAAGAAGAAAAAGAAGAAAATAAAAAAAACTACCAAGAATCTAACTTGTATGTGCTCTATCCTCCTGCCCTTCCTTTCATAATCAAAACAATTTAGCACAAGGAAGAAGTAGAAACACGAAGGAGTAGAAAAAGTCCAAAACAGCCAGAAATGTCACCTGGATGGGTTCATTCCTTCTGCTACGAAGATCCCACACACGGACACTGCCATCCATTGACCCTGAGAAGATGACTGTTGACTCTTCATTAAAGCAGACGCAGTTCACTCTTGCTGCATGACCTCTGAATTTCCTCAGGCATTCTCCTGTTCCTACGTTCCACATCATCACTGATTTGTCCAAGCCACAAGAGCCAATCAGTCTGGAAAAAAGATTCTTGTTAAACTAGGGATCATCATGCATATATACATTCATCTATATGTGTGTGTGTGTGTGTGTGTGTGTGTAAGTGAGTGAGTGAGTGAGTAAGTGTGTGAGTGAGTGAGTGTGTGAGTGAGTGTGTGTGTGAGTGTGTGTGTGAGTGTGTGAGTGAGTGAGTGAGTGAGTGAGTGAGTGAGTGAGTGAGTGAGTGAGTGAGTGAGTGAGTGAGTGAGTGAGTGTGTGTGTGAGTGTGTCTTTCTGTGTGCGTTTTATTTTTTAAAGAATCATTAAAAGCAATTATAATTAGGCTTATGATAGATGAACTTGTAATTCTTAAAATCAAATTTCCTACATATTCCATGATAATGTCAATGCATTCATAAGATTCTGAAAACAGTATGCAGCCCACTATTACTAACCCTTGTCTCGCAGACCTGATTACAAGTTGCAGTTGTATACTTTTTGTTACTCCTGCTATATGATTTTCATATATTTTCTCTTATTTTTGAAAAATACAGAAACTTGCATGTCGCTTGATTTTGATCCCTTTTTTATCAAAACCCTTTAAACTGACCCAGACCCAGGCAGCTCTTTACTAATTGCACAGAATGTGTTTAATATTTTATGAATAATATGAAATTCAATTTCAAAAAGAATAAAAGAAAATATCAAATATATCTTGAGACAACTTGAAAATTGGTGTAATAGTAAAGTGAAAATCCCTTGAGTTTCCAGAACCTAATAATACCTTTGGTCTCCATCCATGCATGCACACACCACAAATATTCATTCACAAATATATGCTCATACAAACACAGACACAGACACACACAAAAAAAAAAAAACAACAACAACAAAAAAAAACACACACACACAAAAAAATGCTTTGACTCTACTGAAAGTTACTCCTATCACGAAATACATTAATAGACTAATTAACATGATAATGATTTTCCAAGATATGTTGCAAACAGGAGTGTATGCAGATTATCAATTTCCAGGAGAAGGTACACTTTTGTTTACATAACATTTATAAGTTAATGTCAGCCTTCCATTTTATACCTATACTCTCCCTCATATGTTCTCAATTATTATAGACCAATTTGCCAAAAAAACACATTAGATCAAATCTGTAAAGATTATAAGAAACCATTTATTCAAATAAAAAATAATAACAATAATAGTAATAATAATAATAATAATAATAATAATAATAATAATAATGATAATAATAATAATAAAATAAAAATCTTTAGAATATTGTGTTTAAGTTATCAGTGTCATATGATTCTTAGAAAAACAAAAAGTAACCTATATTCTTAACTCACGAATTGTCACTTGATCCTCGGGCATCCAGGACTTCATATCCATGTCCAGCGTAAGTATGAAGCAGCGTTCCCTTGTGAGGATTCCACAACTTGACTGATTTGTCTGAACCACAGCTCATGCAGTACTCACCATCAACTGCAACACAATTCATGTTTGACACTGAGCTTAAAATTAGTTCATAGGAGTATTTAAAACATATACATCTATACATACACATGTACTCACACGTATATATAATTAATATATCATATGAAGGTATTTCTCAAGCACTGGAATGTATTTCCATTTAAAATGTTTGTGAGGATGATAAAGGCTTTGCTTTTAGAGCACAATATCAAAATATCACAAGCGCTACCACTATCCTTACCATTAAATCTAACAGCTCGAACTGCGCCCTGTTTACACTCCATAATACGCACAAGCTGACACGGAACTCCCTCAAGAGGAGCCATGGCTGAGAAAGAACTGGAAATTACAGACATATGGTCAAACAAGAACAATAAAAACAACAAAATGGATGTATGATAAATCACGACTCAAGAATATCAGGATAGAACAAGGGCCACACATTTACAAGGGAAAAATACAGTTGGCAAATGTTCAAAATAAGATCCAAAGGAAATTAAGGTAATGACCATAAGAACACACAAAACACCTCTATTAGGTATAAAAACTAATATGCATAAAATAAAGATGATGCCATAATCACAAAACAAAAACTCCAAATCTATAGTAATCCAGTAGTGCCATGGCCTTTGTTCATTGTGCTCTGTTAATGCTAAACAAACATACACTTAACAGGTATATATTTTGGCAAGATAAGAGCTTACTGACCTCCCTAGCATCTTACTGTCAAACAAAGAACAAGAAAAAGCTTTAGCTTACTGAATATATACCCAAGATGTGAAGCACTAAAGCCTAGGCATTTCTCCTATTATAAGCAATATCATTCCAATAACAAAATACTTGTTCATATTCATTTCTCAAAACATTAGTCAATACTTCATTGTGATTTGAATAATACTATTCAGTTTTTTAATAAACTTTTACATTGTCTCTTGTACCTATGCTAAATGCAGATAGGATATGGTTGTTCCCAAGGGTACACTGCTGCATTATTAGGCCTACTACTGTTACCTGGTTTTGCAGCCTTGTTATTAAGTACCATCAAACGACAATATTACAGTCCAATGTCTTACACTTCCTGTTCTATTCAAAATCTGTCTAAAACTATTGGCCTATTTGTAAAAAATGAAACAACTTTACAAAGTAAGAGATATATATATGACATCTTTAATTTTATTTCCAACAGAAATACCTTTTTCTAAATCTAATGCAGTAAACTCTTCTTTGGTTAGGCTTAGACTAATAGAGTTGCTATTTAAAAGTTTGATTTCATGTATATTTCCATCTCAAAACATGAACACCATTTTTCATGAACACAAAATACTGATACAGTGTCTTCATACTGTACATCAAGAGTTACTGTAAGTACAAGAGCTTTCAAAAGTTTTTTTTATCACCCACGAGGTATGCAAAGTTAGCAGACTGGGGTTAGAGTAGCCCTTGGATGAATCTAGGTTAAAGAAATTATTAAATGGTTCTTAAGTTTTGGTAAGCATAGACATAAATATCATTACAGTAAATTTACAGTAAATTTTGGCGGATCGCCTAACCTATCACAACAATTTTGGTATGAATGAACTCCTCTCACTCTCTACTATTGATATCATTATGGTAATTTTACAGAATAGTTCAGCCAAACTGATTGCAACAATTTTGGTGTGGATGAATTCCTCTCGCTCTCTACTATCCAAATATATAGACATTATTCTGAAGAAATTCCCCAAACTCCAGATGTCTGGCCCTGATAGCAGGGGGGGGCATGAATTCTATGCATATTATGCGCTTATTAGTGCCCTGCGTATTATTATTGAGATTGAGATTGAGATGAAAGGTACCAGGGAAATTGCGGAGTAAAAATGAATACCTCACACAGAATCAGCTGCCTTACTGTCCACTGCAGATGGCTGCTGGCCCCCAAAGAATCAACAAAGAATCCTCAGTATGTTTCAGTTTCACACAGCCATGTGGTACAAGGTGAGTTTTACCTGTAATGGATAGAATAAAAAAAATTAATACACTTTACATCTATGGTACTTCCTCCGCAAGTTGATAATAAGAAAGCTGTGCAAAATTAAATGCTTTGGTAAACATTTACAAGAAAATCCAATAACACTATTATGAAATAATCAATCCAGGTTAAGAATAATGTCAGAAATAAAGAAATTAGGTTAACATTAATGCCAGAGAGAGTGTAAGGCCACAGCAATCAAGTTGGGAAAATGCAGCAACAGGAACTTAGTTTGAAGGGGTGCAGTCACTCTGTAAACAATATTTTCTGTATGTCATTTGCGATGGGAAACAACAAAAGATTCATGCAGATTACTCTGTGAATAATTGAAACAAGGAATAGTAATTGCAAGATGGGATGGCTGTGTGAAACAAAAAAATTATCAAATCCTCCACATGTTCTCGGCAGGAGAGAGTCAGAGATGCTTGCCATCTGGCACTCCCACATATTGGGTGTATGCTCTTTCCTGCCATGAATATGTGGAGGATTCTTTTTGTTCCATCTTTGGGGTAGAGGTGTGGCAGCCCCCTTCTTTAGACGATATGGTGACTGATTCTGTGTATATCATTCATATCTTACCCTGTAATTTCCCTGGTACCTGCCATACTCTCCCCTGCTATCTGGGTCAAGATTGGTGCTAATGGGGGGGGGGGGGGGGGGTGTTCTGCACAATAATTTTCATGTATTTGGATAGTAAAGAGTGAGAGAAATCCTTCTATACCAAATTCGTCGCTATTCGTACTATTCTGTATAATCAACAAAAATACCATACTGACGGTGATTAAATGAAAAGGTAAACAGGCTTGGCCAATTTTAGGATTTGCATGATCTGCAACTTATATATACTAAAATAAATAGTCATCTAAAAAAGAACACAATCTGCAACAACACCTACTTGTGTCAAACACAAAATATCACAGACCGAAATGCACAAACAATGTAGTTACTAAAATCTCGAAGATAGCGTTTTCTTCTTCTTCTTTCTTCTTTTATAGGGTTTTAGACTTTTGCATAGTCTATATCCCCTGGATCTTTTTTCTTTTCTATTCTTTCTTTTATATGATCTCTGTTAGTTTGGTTTTTCTTAAAAAGATTTTGGTGTGTCTAAGAGTATAAAACTTTTCTGTTGGGGAGAGATCTGCACCTGTGAATAATAAGTTTATGTTAGGGTTGATTACTTTGATTTTTCTTAAGGCTTCTTTCAATTTTGTTCTGCTGGAGTGGAATCTTGGACAGTGTAGGATTAAGTGTTCTATATCTTCTTCTTGATTATGACACCATCTACAGTAAGGGTCATTTGTTATTTTCATTCTATGTAGGTGTTTATTTAGTCTTGTGTGCTTAGTTATTATTCTAGTTATGCAGACATCTAATTTTCTATTTTTGGATCTTAACCATGGCTGCGGTTCTGTGTTCTGCAATAGATAATTCTTTGTGTTAAGAATTGTATTTAACTGAGTTTTCCAGTTTCTCTGGTTTTTTTTTTCATCTGTTTTATCTGTTTTTTTGTGTCTTCATGTATGGTTATGGGATATCTTATTTTGTGTGCTTTTTTAGCTGCTTGATCTACTATTTCATTTCCCTTTATGTTTTTATGTGAAGGTATCCACTGTAACATTATTATTTGATTTTGATTTACCATTGTATATATCAATTCTTGTATTTCAAAAGTCATACTTTTAGAATTCTTAGGTTTCGGGTTAGATATTAGTTGAAGTGCAGATTTAGAATCTGTAAATAGTACTGATTTTGATAATTTGTTATTTTGTATGTATTTTAGCCCTTGTTTTATTGCAAAGAGTTCTGCTTCTATTATTTCTGTATTGTTTGGTAGTTTCCATATTGTTGTTATATTGTTATCTTGTATGTATATTGCTGCTGATGTGGAATCGTTGTTTATTTTCGAGCCATCTGTGAATAATTTTTTATAATTTCGATATCGTGTGTTTTCTAACATTATATATTGTGCTCTTATTATTTTTCTGGGATATTTTTTGTTTGCTCATCTAAGAATTTTGTTTCTATATTTTTTGTAATATCAAACCAAGGTGGAATAGGGGTTATGTTTGACATTGTTTTTATCTTTATTTTCACTTGCAATTCTTTGTTTGTTTCTATTATTCTATGGATTAAGTTATTTTTATCCTTTTGAGGGTTATATTCTTTTATATTTTCTGTTAACATTTTTTTTATTTGTGTATTTTCTTTTTTTTCTAGTATTTTTAACATTTGGGTGAATTCTTTTTCTTTTAGTTTATTTTTGATCGACATTTTATTTGTTAGGGCATAGAGTGCATTTATTGGAGTGGTCTTTAAACATCCAGTGGCTATTCTCAAAGCTCCATTTTGAACTGTTTCAATTTTTTTTATTTCTGTGTCATTTGCTGTTCCATAAATTGTTATACCATATTCTATTTTTGGTTTTATGTAGATATCATAGAATTTTATCATTGTCTCTCTGTTTGCTCCCCATGTTGTTGTTGATAATTTTTTCATTATGTTTATTCTATTTGTACATCTAATTTTCAAGTTATTAATATGGTTTTTCCACTTTAGTTTTGGTGCGTCGAATTCGAGTCCTAGGATTGTATGTTTATTTGTGAATTTTAGTTCTTCATTATTTATTTTTATTATTGGTATTTGTCTTATTCTTTTTTTTGTAAAGCACATTACTTTGCTTTTAGTTAAATTTAATTTAAGCTCCCAGTCGTTAGCCCATTTTACTATTTTATTTAATCCTACTTCTAGATTGATTTTTGCTTCTTCTAGATTTTCATTTATTGTTATTATATTTATGTCATCTGCATATATTATTTTGTTGGTTTTTACTGTTAGATTTAGATCTGACATCATTATGTTGAATAGTAATGGACTTAATGGAGATCCTTGTGGAAGTCCTTTACTTATTCCTCCTTCCTCGGATTTTTGGTTTCCTATTATTATTTGGTAGGATCTATTATTTAAAAAATTAGATATCCATCTGAGAGGAGTACCCGTTATACCTAGTTTAGCTGCTTTTATTATTATTGCATCGTGGTTTACTTTGTCAAAAGCTTTTTCTAAATCTAGAGATGCTATTAGGGCATATTTTTTCTCTTTATAAGCTTTTTTAATATGAAAATCGATTATTTGTAATGTATCTATTGTTGAGCTATTGGGTCTGAAACCTGTTATGTCTTGACTTAGTTTGTTATTTTTTTCAAGCCACCATATTAGTCTATTGTTGATTATGCTTTCCAGCATTTTCCCTATACATGAGATTCTGCTTATGAATCTATATGATTTTTTATTTGCTGGATCTTTATCCGGTTTTAATATCGGATTTACAAGTGATTTCTTGAATTCTATAGGATATTCTCCTTTTATCCACAACTGATTATAGATGTTTAAAATTTTTTCCAGTAGGTTATTTGGGATATTTTTATAAAATTCATAAGGGATACTGTCTGGGCCACAAGCTTTATTATTTTTTGTCTTTTTTATTACAGAAATTAATTCTTTTAATGTTATCTCCTTTTTAAACCGTTCGTACTTGGCAATTCTATTAAACTTTTAAATTCTGATTTTGTTATTAAGCATTTTGTTTTTGTGTTTATTATACTTTGGAATTCTTCTTTTAAGAGTTTTAATTTCTTTTTTGTTTCTTGTATTGGCTGATCATTATCTATTAGCGGGTAATTATTTATTCTATTACTGCCTGAAAGTTTCTTAATAAAATTCCATATTTTTTTGGTTGGGGTTCTAAAATCTAATGAGTGGCAGAAATTTGACCAACTTGTTCTTTTTTCCTTTTCTATTGTATCTCTTGCTATTATTTGAAGTTTTTTGTATTCTATTCTGTTTTTTTCATTAGGATTTTTTCTCCATTTATTGAATGATTTGTTTCTTTGTTTTATTACTTCTTTACATTTTTTATTCCACCATGGTTTTGTTGGTTTATTTTTACTATTATCATTATTTAATCTGAAATGTTTCATCCCTATGTTTTTTATTATTTCTGTTATTTTTCAGTGATTTTATATTGTCCACATCTATTTTTTGTATTTCTTCTTTAAATTTTATCCATCCTTCTTCATTGAATTTCCATTTTTCCTCTTTAACTATTGTTTCTCTATTGTGATTAATGTCTCTTATTATGATTGGAAGGTGATCGCTCCATATATTTTTGCTTCTACTTCTAATTTACTCAGTTCTGGGTGCCCAGAACTAGGTCTATTGTAGACCCTTTACCTGTTTTCGGATCTATTCTAGTAATTTGTCCTTTTGGAGTTAACATCAGTATGTTATTTTGATTTATTAAATTAAACAAGTTTATTCCAGTGATATTTGTTATATTTTGGTTTGTTTTTGAATTCCATAGCGGATGATGGGCATTAAAATCTCCTATTATGAGTTTTGGTTTTTCTATTTGGTTTATGTAGTGTTCCATATCTTTTTGATTTACTTTGTTACATGGGTTGTATATTAAAAGTAAGTGTAGCCATCCTCTTTTATAGCTAATCTTTATAGCTAATGTTTCGATGTTTTTATTTTGTAATTCATTTAGATTAATCTTCTTGTATTGTATATCATTTTTTATACAAATTGCTAAGCCGCCTCCCCTTTGTTCTATTCTATCATTTCTTATGATATCATAATCTTTTATATCAAATTTGTCATTATTTGTAAGCCAAGTTTCGCAAATTGCGAATATCTCCGGGTTTTCTGTTTGAATTAGATATTCTATATCTATTTTTTTGTTTATTACAGATCTAGCGTTCCATAGTATTGTTTTAGTCATTAAACCAAACTGATATTTGTTTTAATATTGGAGCAACTTCAGTTATTATCTCTGTTATTATTTCAATTATTGTTTTGTCTGATTTGAATTTTTCGGTTATATTAGTTATTAATTTGAAAATTCCTTTTGTTATTTCAACAAATGAAGGTTTTTCTTCTTTGTTTTTTTGTTCTTCTTCTCTTCTTTCTTCTTCTTTTCTTTTATTGTTGGGGTTTTGTTTAGTGGTGTTGGTAGAGACCATGTTATGGGGGATTCTGTGAGTTTCTTGTCTTTTATGTTTTGTTCCTTTGTGTGTGTTTGTTCTTTTGTTTTTTCTTGACTGTTTTTTTTTTTTGATTTTGTTGATTGAGTTGGAGTATTTTCTGCTCTGTTTGTGTTATTTTTTTGTTTTGTGGGTGTTTTTTGTGCTGGTGTTATGTTATTTGTTTGTGTTAGTATTTTAGCATATGTTTGTGTTATGTTTGGGTTTGTTTGTTGTATAGTGTTTGTGTTATCATCTGTTTGTTGTTTGTAATCTGTTTCTGAGTTGTGTATTTCTGCTGTGGTAATTATTATGTTTTTTTGTATTGGTTGATTCTGTTTTTGTGTTGTTGGGTTTAAGTGATGGAAAAGTTTTTTTACTTCTAAGTTATTTGGTGTTGTGTTTTTTTTGTTTATTTCTTGGGCTTTTTGATGAATTGGGCAAGTTTTATCGTATGCTGTGTGGTTACCTTTACAGAAAAAGCAATGAGGTGGATTTTTGCAATCTTTATATTTGTGATCTTGTTGGCTGCATTTACTACATCTTATTTTGTTTTTGCATGATATCAACCCATGGCCATACATTAGACACTTAAAACATTTGGATATTGGGAATGTGTATTGATATACCTTATAACTTATATGACCTATTGTTAATTTGTTAGGTAATGGACCTCTGAATGTTATTTTCAGGGATTTAGTAGGAATCCATTTATTTTCTCCTGATATTTTACTTGGTTTATGAATCCTTGTTATATCTTTTATGTATGTATCTGGCCCCCATAGTATCTTGGTTTTTTCTTTGTATCTTCTTCTCATTTTTCTCCGTCTCTTGATCCTGCTTCTTTTATTTGCAGCATCCTTGATCTTTATTTGATGCAGGTTGCTTACAGTTTATTTCCCAGTTGCCTAGGTATTTAATTTCATTGAGAGGTCCAATTTTTGATATATCTACTACCTCGAATCTAATGGCTTTTCCATCTCCTATTACTCTTAATGAATTTTCAATTATGTATTTTTGAAAAATTGATTTATTTATGGCCTCAGTTAACCTTATTGGATGGTTGAAGTTTGAGGTATTTGATTTGTTTGTTATTTGTATTAGAATAACATTTTCTTGAGGGGTACCTTGAGTTACTGTTCCGTAGGTATGGTTCTCCGTGGTCTGTTTGCCGGTTTCTTCGTTTCTTGCTTGTTTGGTGTATGGGCAATCTTCGCTATCACTGTCTCGTCTTCTGCTGTTTTTCTGGTGTTCGTATATCATTTCATTGTCTTTTCCAGGTTCTTCACCTGGATCAAGATCAAAGTTTCCGTTCATAAGCTTTCACTTCACTGAGTTCGGTACTTTTTAAAGATTGATCACTCTTACACGTTGATGTTCACTCTTCAAAGTCTCGACCGGTTCCTAGATAGCGTTTTGAAACGATCTTCGCTTAGTTTACAAACTCTCGTCATTTCTCGTGTGGTCTCGTCCCTCGCGAGATGGCTGTAAAAGCATTTTAAATCAAATTAATCTTTTACTGAAAAATGGATACCACTGGCACAATGAAAAATATCTATGGTCTATATTTCTTTCGAATTATTCATCTCTCTTAAACAGATCATTTGATTTGAGGCTTTATCTGCAACATCCTTATATGCATTTTTGCATTCCTTTGAATTATTTTGCTCACGAATTTCAAGTAATTTAAAGTCTAAACTCTGCCCACACACGCGTGCCAACCTGTTTTTTCAGTTCGTCAAAACCCATGTGTGACCACCACCGAATCGGTAAAATATTAACTACTTGTAATTTACTTTGTAATTCTTCATTTAGCCATCTAAGACTAGCATTCATATAGTGGTGATGTTTAACATTGTAATGATAAATGAAAGTACAATAATGATAATGATAATAATATTTAATATCAAGAATGACAGTGATAAAAGCAGTGACAATACAACGTCAGTGATGGTCATAATATATTCATATTGCGTTTATTCATTAATTAGGTCGACTATTCTTGCTATATTCCGTTAGCAGGGCTGGAATTCTACGGAAAACAGGAGAAGACCGACGAAATTTTTCCCGCAGACTGTATTTTTGTTTATTTTGCATGACTACAGAGGGTTTCGTGCAAATGAAAAGTGTTTAATACAACATTGACATATCTTCCCATGTTCAAATAAATTAAACATGAAAATTGCTGAAACCATCCTGCTGGTATGAACTCAAGCTGGGCCTTCTAGCTTGGGCATCACCAAAGACACACTCCCATAGAGTGACTTTAAACTTCCAGCCTTGCAACACACTCACCATGAATAGTCGTATATATATTTTTTAGATGAATCAAGTTACAGTTTCAATATCACATTTTCTTAAGTTATACATCTAATGCATTTTCTATAAAGATGTGGGCGCATTTTATGCTGTTGAATGTTAACATTATTAGCTTGATAATGTATTTCTTATATATTGTTTTATGCAGTGTAATAAACAAGGAAGTAAAGCAGGGAATGCTATTATCATCAGATTCTGACCCTACGTACTATAACTATAATCCAATATTTATCCGTTTATGATAGTATATGGTTCAATTTTATTATTCATATCCGTTTTCTGTATCATCTAATGTACAGAAAATTGAAGAAATGATGCTGCGGAAAAGCGGTCAGCAGGACCACTTATTATCCGTAGCAGATTTCTGCGTACATGTGTGCACATATATGCACATGTATATAAAAAAAAAAAAACATTTGCATGCAATTACTTGTATATATAAAGTGTGTACATGTAAATGTGTACATGTATGCGTAAATATGTGTACATGTGTAAACGTGTGTACATTGATGCACATGTACGTGTGCAGAGATAACGAGAAACGGTTAGAGTATCAAGTGGTTTGCAGTTAGCGAGTAACTTTAAAAGGGAAGGCTAGATCAGTAGCAACTCGAGGAGGTGCCATGACGCTTGTTTATTTTGATGACGTCACAAAGTTACGTATGCTTTGTGAAAATGGTCGATCATTTTTATTTCAATTTTCAAAACAAAAGAAAAGTAATGACTGTAGTGGTTGCAATTCCACTGAACAATCATCAAAATAGCCTTGTGGATGAGAAGAGTGGACGATTATTATTATTCTCAAGTGGAATTGCTCGCAGTGGGAGTCAAGCCAATGGCCTGTATTTTTTTACTCAGTTTGAAGGAATTAAATATACCTTTTTTTACTACTTCCATGCACTATTTCATGTGATCTGGCCTGATATGTGATTTGACCTGATATGATGTGATTTGACCTGATATGGCATCTGATCTGACATGTGATCTAACCTGATCTGATGTAAACTGACCTGATCTGACCGTATTTGATGTGACCTGACCTGATATGATGTGATTTGACATGATATGACATGATCTGACCTAATCTGACCTAATCTGATATGATCTAATGTAATGACCTGATCTGATGTAATCTGACCAGATTTCATGTGGTCTGACCCGCTCTGATGTGATACGACCTGATCTGATGTAATCAGCCCAGATCTGATGTGATCTGGCCGTATTTCATGTGACCTGACCTGATCTGATATTACGTGAACTGATCGGATGTGATCTGGCCTAATCTGAAGCAATCTGACCTGGTCTGATGTGTTCTGACCTGACGATGTGATGACCTGATCTGATGTGATATGAACTGATCTGACCGTATTTGATGTAACCTGACATGATCTGATGAAATCTGACCTGATCTGATATGATCTAATGTAATATGATCTGATGTGATCTGACCTGATCTGATGTAATCTGGCCTGATCTGATATGATCTAATATAATCTGACCTAATTTTATGTGATCTGACCTGATGCGACATGATTTGTCCTGATCTGATGTAATCTGACCTGATTTTATGTCATCTAACCCGATTTGATGTGATTTGACTGGTTTGATATGATTTTATGTAATCTGATCTGGTCAGTTGTGATATGAACTGATCTGATGTGATCTGAAGCAATCTGACCTGATCTGACGTGATAACCTGATCTGATATGGTGACCTGATCTGATGTGATATGAACTGATCTGATGTGATCTGACCCCATCTAATGTGGTATGACCTGATCTGAAGCAATCTGACCTAATCTGATGTAATTTGACCTTATCGGATGCGATCAGATCACGTCATATTCACATCTGATGAGGTCAAACCACATCTGGTTACATGAGGTCATATTCAAATCAGATTAATCAAGATCAGGTCAGATCAGATTATATCACATCAAATATCAACTAATTTGATGTGATCTGACCTGACCGATGTGATCTGTTATATCTGATCTGATATAATCTGCCCTGATTTGATGTGATCTGACCTGTTCTGATGACGATGTGGTCTGACCTTTATCAGCGTAGTGCAGATGTTAGCGTAAACTATTTTGAACCCTAGTGGTTAGAGCCCGTAAAGGACACTTGGTCGCCAAAGGGTTAAAGTGTGCCAACCCTGGACTGCAGTTCTAAGGCTTTGGTGCATAAATATTCGCCATGGAAATTCATCGGTTCAAGGGTTAATGTATTTTTTAAATTAAATCAATGTAATTTGGATAAAAATGCGTCATTGGGCAAAGATAAACATTTATTCAGATATCTTGAAATCTATTCCAGTTCTTAAGGCAAAGGTAGCACACATATAATCTTGACCTCAGGGTTACAGTTCCTCCTTTCCTGTAAAATGAAAGAAAATAAAAGTACAGAGAGCATAGTTCCGTTGGTGGATATAGGCATGGTAGACATATCCTTCAAATGCTGCAATGTATTACGATAATTATGATGCTCTACTTCAAACTCTACCTTGCTTGGCTCTTTTTATCCCTTAGTTGCATTCTGCCCCCCCCCCTCTCATTTTCTCTCTCTCTCTCTCGCTCGCTCACTTTTCCTCCCTCCATCCCTCCCCCCTCCCTCCTTCCTTTCTCTCTCTCTACTCACCATCCGTATTTTCGTCCCTCTCTTCCTTCCTCTCCCTCTCCTTCCCACACCATCCGCACTCTCCCTCTTTCCCTTTACCTCTCTCTCCCCCTCCCTTTTTCTCTTCTCTCTCTCACTCACTCTTTCTCTCTCTCTCTTTCCTTCTCTCCCTCCCTTTCCATCTCTTCCTCTCCATCCGCATTCTCCCTCCCTCAACATCCGCATCCTCCATCCTTCCCTACCCCTTCCCTTCTCCCTCCCCCTCCCTAGCCCACTCCTTCTCCCTCTCTCTCCCTCCCTACCCCCTCTCCTTCTCCTTTCTCCTCCCTAACCCTCTCCTCCTGCTTCTCCCTACCCCTCTCCCTCCCATCCTCATTTCTCTCCTCGAACCGCGTACGACGCTCCGCAGGTAGATAGCTATCAATGGCAGGATGGATGTCCGCAGCAGGCCTCATCGTTCCGCGCCTTCTGGGTCCCCGTCAGATTCCAGACCGCACTGACCTGAGCCTGGCGCCAGATAACAACCATGATCGATGACGGTCCTTTGGCAGCGCGCCCAAGGGGATAAAGAAAAGACCCTAGAACTATTGGTTGTCCCGGGTGCGGCCCCTGGGAATATATATATTGTGGAATTAAGAATCGGGAGGTTGATGTATGATTATATTATAAGTATAATATGGCTAGAGGAGAGAATGGAGGTGGTAAATAAGTAGATATAGTGGAAATTTAGGATTAATTTGGTGATAAAGTATATATGATATAGAGAGAAGGAAAGTAAAAAAAAAGAGATTGAAAAAGGGGAAGTTATGAACAATATGGTGGTGAAATAAGGAGAATTATAGAAATTATTAAGATGCTATATAGTGTAGTATGTAAATGTATAAATAAGAGAGGAAGAGGAGAGAGAGAGAGAGAGAGGGTAGAGTGAAGGAGAAGATGATAAAGGATAATGGAGATATAGAAGATAATGAGATGTATAGAGAGTAGTTGAGATAAAGTAGTAGAGGAGAGAGGTAAAATGAGTAACAAAAGGAAGTAGTGAGAAAGTGGAGAGAGACGAAGAAGAAAGAAGATGATAAAGTATAATTAGTAGAGGAGAGAATAAGTATATATAGATTAGAGAGAGATGATATATGAAGAGAGGTAAGATATAGTAATTACAGAAATGAAGAGAGTAGTAAGGTAGAGGGAATAGTAGGTTATAGTAAATATTATATATGAATACAGATGATGAAATATGTAGATATAGATATAGAGAATATATGGATATATATATATGATAAGGAAGAGTGAGAGAGAGAGAGATTATGAGGTATAGATAGAGATGCAAGATATTATATTTGTTATAATAATAGATTGACAGAGTAGAGGAGAGAGAGAGAGATAGAGTAAGGTGAGAGAGATATATAGATAGGATATAATTGAAGAGATAGAGAGAGTATAGAGAGAATATAGAGAGCTAGAGAGTAGAGTAATATATATATGAGGTATGTATTGCAATATATATATAGAAAGGTAGGTGAGTATGAATATATCATATAAGTAAATAGATAATATAGATAGAATATAGATATAGTGTGAATATAAGGTACTAGTAATATAGATAGTAATTTAGTTATAGTAATGACAGTAATATAGAGAGAGATAGATATAGTAATGAGAATAAATAAGAGGGTAATATAGATAAGAGATATATATATAGTAAGAGAGGTATAGAGGAAGTATGAGAGGAGAGAGAGAGAGAGGAAAGAGAAGAGAGAGAGAAGAGTAGTAAGGAGGATATATATAGAGAATAGAGAGGAGAATATAGCAAAGTAAGAAGATATAGTAGTATAAGTAAAAGTAAGATGAAGGTATATATATATATATTATAGAGATATATGAATAGATAGATAACTAGAGAGTAGAGATATATAGTATATAGAGCTAGGAATAATATATATGTGAATAGTAAATAATATGTACACACACACACAGACACACACACAGACAAGTAAGAGATAGAGAGGAGGGAGGGTAGAGGGAGGGAGGTGATAATAGGTGTATATAATAGGATACGATATAGTAAGGATGAATATATATAGTGAAAAGAGAGGAAGAGGTAATAGAAGAGGAGAGATATAATAGATAAAGAGGAGATGAAGAGAATGAAGAGAGAGAGGATAGAAGAAGGAGTAATAGAGATAGAGTGTTAAGAGGAGTGAGTACCGTATAAGGGAGGAGAAAAAGTAATGAATAGAGAGAGTGGTATTATGAATAGTAGTATTCAACACCCGAGCGACACACCGAGCACACAATCACACAGAGACACAGACAACAGAGAAGAAGAGAGAGTTGAAAGAGAGAGATGAGAGAAGAGTAACGACGAGAGAGAGATGAGAATAAGAAGGAGATATAGAGTGAGATAGGTAATAGAGAGAGATAGTTATAGGTATAGAGGTAATAGAGAGAGGGGAGGAGAGTAGAGAGGGAGTGTAGAGAGAGAGGGAGAGAGAGAGTGGGAATGAGAGTAGAGATAAGAGATATATTGAGAGGAGAGAGGAGAGAGATGAAAGATAGAGAGAGAATCAGATATGAGTATGTATGTGAAGTGATGTAAAGGTAGGAGATAGTGAGGATATAGGAGAGTGATGAAGAGAGAGATAGAGAGATAAGAGAATATAGAGATGAAGAGATATATAGGTACAATATATAGAATAGAGATAGAGAGGTGAAGAGAAGAGAGAGAGAGAGAAAGAATATATATATAATATATATACTATATATATATATATATATATTATATATATATATATATATAATATATAGAGAGAGAGAGAGAGAGAGAGATAGAGAGAGAGAGAGACGAGAGAGAGAGAGAGAGAGAGATATAGACAGATTGATAGATATGAATAGACTGAGAGACATAAAGATAGGCTGACAGATAGACAGACAAGCAGATAGAAAAAGTGACAGTTCAAAACATGGGAATGATAGTGAAAATTAATATCACAATGGGAGTTGGTCATAATAACCAGAAATATTGTCAACAAATCATAACCAGAGAAATATAATCAACACTGCTAATAACAAACACAAATAAAACAGACACACCCGCAGTGACGACCTTTACCTGAACCACGTGCACCCATTGCTCTGTCCCCATGTCCCTCAACTCATCCAAAAGTTCATCCAGTTGCAGCGTGAGTGACCTAACGCCGGCCCGGGTCAGGTAGGTGGCGTCCAGCTGATTCAGGAGACCATCTGCGCTTGCGTCCAGAAGGTTGAAGATGGACGCGGCGAGGGACTGGCACTCGGGCGGGCAGTCGACGAGGTCAGGCAGAAGCAGGCGGTCCTGGAGAAAGGGGGGCTGGGGTGGAACTGATTTTCATGGTGTGTTTATGGTAAAAAAACACACAATGCACAAACTCAATTAGTTTGTGCATTGTGTGTTTTTTACCATAAAACACACCATTGTGGGTTTTTCTACCATAAGTATCAACACGGTAGAGTGTTTTTCCTTTCTTCAGTGTGTTTTATGTGTATTTCTAAGACAGTTGTTATCATGTCTTTAAACTTTAGGTGGTTCTTTTGTTTGAGTTTTTGGATTAGTTTAGGCGAATAATTAATTCCGTACATAGGGGCCGAAACCGCAGATTGAGCTCATCAAAAATATATTAAATGGATACATGAAATGAAAAAAAAAACACACAGGAAAGGAAGAAAGCGAAGTAATTACATGGGCAGAACAAAAATTTGAATCACACAAAAACATACTGCAAGGACTGAAAAAATCTAGGGGCAGATGGTGGCAAAAAAAGATAAAGATGAATAAATGAGTAAGAGAGAAAGGGTTGAATTTGTACAAAGGGGAGGGTGAAAAAGGAACACATGAAAGACAGACAGAAACACGCGGACATAAACGCGCATATCCGAAAGAATCTAGAGAAATCCAGAGGGCTGCAGAGGAATCTGGAAGAATCCAGAGTAATCCGGAAGAATCCAGAACCAGAGAAATCGAGACAAATCCAGAAAAAAAACAGAGGATCCGGAAAGAATCCAGTAGAACCACACGAACAGAGAAGAATCCAGAAAAACCGGAGGAATCGAAAATAATCCCAGAAGAACCAGACGAACAGGCAAGAATTAGGAAGAATCCAGAACTAGACGAACAGACAAGAATCCGGAAGAACCCAGAAGAACAGAACTAGACGAACAGACAAGAATCCGGAAGAACCCAGAAGAATCCAGAAGAACTAGACGAACAGACAAAATCCGGAAGAAGAATCCAGAAGAACAGACGAACAGACAAGAACAGGACAGAAAGAATCCAGAAGAACAGACGAACAGACAAGAATAGGAAGAATCCAGAAGAACCAGACGAACAGACAAGAGAATTAGGGAAGAATCCCAGAAGAACTAGACGAACAGACGAACAAGAATTAGGAAGAATCCAGAAGAAGAACCAGACGAACAGACAAGAATTAGGAAGAATCCAGAAGAACGACGAACAGACAAGAATTAGAGAAACAGAAGAGCTAGACGAAACAGACAAGAAATAGGAAGAATCCAGAAGAACCAGACGAACAGACAAGAATTAGGAAGAATCCAGAAGAACTAGACGAACAGACAAGAATTAGGAAGAATCCAGAAGAACCAGACGAACAGACAAGAATTAGGAAGAATCCAGAAGAACCAGACGAACAGACAAGAATTAGGAAGAATCCAGAAGACTAGACGAACAGACAAGAATTGAAGAATCCAGAAGAGCTAGACGAAACAGACAAGAATTAGGAAGAATCCAGAGAACTAGACGAACAGACAAGAATTAGAAGAATCCAGAAGAACTAGACGAACAGACAAGAATTAGGAAGAATCCAGAAGAACCAGACGAAACAGACAAGAATTAGGAAGAATCCAGAAGAACTAGAGAACAGACAAGAATTAGGAAGAATCCAGAGAACCAGACGAACAGACAAGAATTAGGAAGATCCAGAAGAGAAAGACGAACAGACAAGAATTAGAAGATCCAGAAGAACTAGACGAACAGACAAGAATTAGGAAGAATCCAGAACAGACGAACAGACAAGAATTAGGAAGAATCCAGAAGAACTAGACGAACAGACAAGAATTAGGAAGAATCCAGAAGAACTAGACGAACAGACAAGAATTAGGAAGAATCCAGAAGAACCAGTAGACAAGAATTAGAAGAATCCAGAAGAACCAGACGAACAGACAAGAATTAGGAAGAATCCAGAAGAACTAGACGAACAGACAAGAATTAGGAAGAATCCAGAAGAACCAGACGAACAGACAAGAATTAGGAAGAATCCAGAAGAACTAGACGAACAGACAAGAATTAGGAAGAATCCAGAAGAACTAGACGAACAGACAAGAATCCGGGCAAATCCAGAGGAATCCAGAAACGCCCCAAGGCATCCTGAAGCCTCAACCCACGATCCGGAAGCGCCGGAAGAAGGCGTCGAAGCTGAGGTGGAGGTCCGGGAGGAGGTACTGGCCAAGGAGGTGGGGGAGGGGGTCCTGCTCCCCCCACAGGACCAGGGGGGGGGAGGGGGTCTGTGGGCAGGATCTCCCACAGCGTCGCAGGATCTGTGGGGGTTCCTTCCTTGGCGTCCGTCCTGGGTTTGGGAAATGTATGGTACTGGTGCAGTTTCTTTATTTATTTCTTGATA